TTCATTTTGTAGCTTTGGGTCAGGGCAGGTGACTTTCTTTACAAGTCGCCTGAAGTCATTGCTGTTTCCAGACAATCCTGTTTCAGAAGCCAGTGGTGGCTTTCTAGGAGGAGAACTGGGAGGATTAAGTTGTGTGTAATTCCTTCCTTACTGCAGCTCAGAGATCCAGATCCCATCAAGGGGACAAATCACTTACTACCTCTTTTGACTTAACAGCAGCCTATGACAGATCCAAGGGCAGGCAGCCTGTAGCAGGGGTACAGCCAGCACTGTTCAGAATGATTGAAAAAGTTTATGCATATACATCCATGTGTGAGGAACTTCTTGGCATAAGTGATCCTATGAGAGCATTGGAGGCTGTTAGACCTGTACAATGAAAAATTACTCTGTTCAGATTCTAGCTTGGGTGTAAAAAGTAATTCAGAGTGCCAAAACAGTGTTTTTACTTATCCAAACCAGATTTTTTTAACTTGGTCACTCAGACTGGATCTGGGAGCCCTGGATGAACTTTTCCTCTCCCTGATTCAAACCAGCAATTTCTTCTTAAACAAAACCCAGACTGTTTGGGCACTCACAAGGGTTACTTTGTGGTAGTTAAAGATTTGGGGAAATGGGTCTCTCTTCCTCCTGGCTGGATGCCATACCAAGTTCTTCAGCATCCAGCACTGTGGGGCTGGTGGGCATTGCGCTTTCCCATAGGCAGGGTGCTCCTCCTGCTCCAGCCTGTGCTTGTTTCTTCTTGCTTCTCTCTAGCTATCACCTACCCCACAAGCACATTATTTCCCTGAGCTGTCTGATACGAATTTAATCCCCAGAGGCTGAGAGGAGGATTGGATCTGGTTTCCCACCGCCCATGTGGATTCCCTTACCAGCGGGCTATTCAGGGAAAGTCAACTGCTACCTCCAAGTGCTTTAATAATTCTATGATTCCTCAGCTTGTACTGCCAGTGCCCAAAATGAAATGCTTTGCCATTTGTTTTGCCTGAAACTATTCCACAAAACTGCTTCCAATTTATGAATGGATTTGGCTACCTCAGAACCTCATTTTTAGCTAAGTCGCAACTTGCCAACAGCCCTCACCCAGTGCTATTCTTGAGCGCTTTGCCCGATCTTATGTTTCAGAAGCAGCGCCTGTGTACAGTGCGGTTGCTACAACCTTCTCTCCAAGTCCTGTCCTCCCTCAGTCAAAACAGGAAGGCAGGAGAGGAGCTGTGGCCAAGGCCCCTTGACCTTCCAGGGAAACAGCAAGTATTTATATGGAGACACTGGATGGATGATTTTAGCTGTGTTGACAGGGATGAGTTATAAAGTGAAGAAGGCATAAGTGCAGTTTTAATGAGGCATAGGATTTCCAGGATTTAGGAGTGTTTTTAGCACCTTTCCGCTCTAAGACTCTTGTCCCCACACATCATCTGCTTCCAGATGGGTACCAGTACCATTCAATGGGCTGTGCTGGGAGCTAAGAATCAGTGCTGGGAGGTGGTGGGTGCTTGCCATGGACTGGTCTGGTTCTCCTGTAGCCAGGGGCTCATCCAGAGGCCTGTCCTCCTCTGCCACCCTCCCCTGTGGGACTGCCCTCTCCCTCCTCCCACCACCTATTTAATACCCTGGAGAATTGGGTCAACGGCTTGGGGGCCCTCAGGGAGGGGGAGCTGGGCACGGTGCATCAGCTGAAGCCTTGGCAGAGCCGCTCCTGCACTCACAGGACTTTGCCGGAAGGATCCACAGAGCCAAACAGAGGTAGAATTGGCCTCAAATTTTAAAGCTGTCTGGAGTGCATTGGTAGTCCTGATTCACAGTTCCCACTGTGGTTCCCACCCAAACCCATGAGGAGAAGGAGTATTTGGGGAAGGGAAGAAAGAAAAGGGAAGGAGTCAGTGATTGACATTTCCATTTTTTCATTTGTGTCCATCCTTGGTAGGATAAACAGCCTAATTTTTTTATGTAGGTAAGAATCTAGTACAAATTATACATTTCCTTCCTTGCATGAAGAAGAATGCGAAACCAACCTCAACACACTGAAATATACCTGCAAAAAAAAAAATTAAGCTTAACAGTTCTTCAATTATTGCATTCCTTTGTTTTTTTCAAATAAGTACAGGAGATATGAATTAACCCTGTAAAAATTTTTATGTGATTCTCTTGATAAATAACCCAAGTTTATGACTAATTCTATTGTGACCCAGTGAAGTCTCCTTCCTGTTAGCAGATGAACTGATAGCCAATGGATTCATTATACTTTCTTGCTGTGGTAGGAAAGCAAAAAGAAACCCCCAATGTTGTAGTTTTCAGCCTCAAAGAATTAGCTGAATTGTCATCCCAACCTGTACCCAGTCAGAAGAAAGGGTCTCTTACATCTAGGGGGAAAGAGCATTCAATTAAAATTAGTCTGATTATCAAACAGACCTTTTCCACAGTGGTCCAGCTCTGCTCCTGTTGAGTGATGTACTGCTTTGAGTCAGTAAACTCTTACAGGGGACTTTCTGTCAATAGATGTATTTTTTGTTGAGTATTTCACAACCAGAGGAGCATGACTTATCTCCCAAAATTGTCTTTGAGAGAACAATTAAGTTATTTAAGAGGAGCAAGGCAAGCTGCTGACACATTTCAGTTTTGAAGACACTGCTGTTCAGTTTACACAGACAAAGCCTGAAACGTGAAAGCTGGCCTTGTGCCTTTGTTTTCTTCTAACTGACTGCCGGAGAAGCAGATTTCCCTGTTCCATGGCTAACTAGATCTGCCTGGTTGGCTTAACCAGCGAGCACATTCCTGCACTTCAGGAAGAACACTCTGGGCTCATTACGAGCTACTGGGCTACAGCCTGACACTAAGAAAACAGATTTGTTTTGGACAAACTGCTCTGACATGGAGGTGCCAGGGTGAATAACCTTTGGGGAAAAAAATATCAAAACAAACTAGCATGAAATCAAAAACCTGCCTCCAAGAGCAAGATGAATAATCTGACAAGTGAATGGCTCTGTATTTTATATCAAAGCACAAAATAGCTAGAAGTTGCAGGGATCTGACTCATGAGCAGAAATAGAGTGCTGGGGCTGGCTTGAGCTGTCACTACCACCAGCTGCCTGCCCCCACCGCTGGAGAATGGGTGGCTCAGATGCTGCTTCTTAAGCAATTCAGCCACAAAAGGCTACAGCTAAGCATTATAAGGGAAACGTGTCAGCACTAGTCTATAGCCTCACTCCTCAAGATAAACCTTGAAACGGTCCTGGGTTACCACAAAGCCTTTCAGCTGCTGAGGCAGGAGGAACAGGACAGACACCTCGCCAGGCATCCCATTGGAAGTTGCAACAGGCACAAGTCAGCACTCGGCAAAGCAGCTTGTCCCAGCCAAGCAGCACTCTGCTGCCACAGCAAGGAGTTGACAGAAGCCCCCACTTCATACCCCCCTTATCAGCAAAGCAGCCCTTTTGCGGGCAAATTTTAAGCCGTGACCTATTTAAACATCCTGCCCCATCACCAACCAGCAGCACAATACTGCAACAAATCCCACAGCACACTGCTGCCGCTGCGCTTCCCCAGCTGCTCTCTGTGACAAGTTCTTCGACTCAAATAGCAGTCCTAATCCTAGCATAAAGCCCCAGCCCAGCTCCACCAGATAAACACACATTGTTTCACCTGGTCTTCTGCGAAAATGAGACCGTGGCAAGTGCCTTATCACTGCTATTTTCTCTACCTCTTCTCAGCTCCTCCTCCCACCCATAACTTTCTAACGTGTTTAACGTGTGGAAGGAGAAAGCTCAGAAAATCAAACTCCTACAAAAGCAGGGGGGAAGGAGAAAGGGTGGTTGGATATGTGCACCCATCCCCACTGAGGGTACAGTTACACAGCGGCTTCATTTGCTCTAAATTGGAGTTGCTGTAGCAATGCCTGCCCTGCCTGCATTATCCTGTCCTCCCTACCTTGTGTTAGCATAAATCAAAGGATGTATATGCGAAAAGCAAAATGCCACTACCTGGGGCTGATTTGGCTAAAAACCACCCCTACCTAAAATTGATTCATTTTGGCTCATTGAGCTTCATGTAAAGGCTCGCTGTACACCTCGAACCAAGGGAGGGCAAAGGAAAGAAGTGTCAGGATTTTGCAGAATTGGGGGGGGGGGGGGGAAGTGGAGAAGAAGCACATCTGTTGCTCTGTTGATTTTGGGACAGCTGAATTTCTGCAGAATGAATTCTTAGCAGGGTAACAGCAGTGCCGAGAAGCTGCCTCCATAAGGGGAATCCCATCCAGCTCCCTTCTCAGCTCCATCAGTTTACTTCCACTCTGGGCTCCCTGCCTGATGTCACTGTATTGTGCCACGGTTTGTCCGGGCTTCAGGCAGGAAGTGCAGCGAGGTAGGAGCTCTTGTGCTGGCAGCTGCATTTTTTGTAACTTAAAACTAGGGGAAAAATTGCAACTTGAGGGTTGGGGGCATGATGTACACGTCTGGAAAAAGATGCTTCCAGTTCACTCAGAGCTATTTTGACACTGAATTATGCAACATTCTGCTTTGCTATATCAAAACTGTTAGAGACCTTAATTTTGTTTCACTAACCATTATTCAAATACACTCGCTGAAAATATCTCCTGAAAGTTTAGAGATGTGGGGGACGATGCCCAGGCTCTGAAGTCATTAATTCCTATCGATTCTCCCCACGTAAATCGGCATCGTTAACCAGTGAGATCTGCAGTCCTGGGGACATCTTACACCCCTTCTGCAGCACTCATGCATTGCCCGCAGTAGCGTTTGTTGAAAATTCAACACCATTATTGATGCACCATGGTACATTTAGTGGTTGGTAAATGGCTTTAATCAAGACTTTTCTTTACAAAGGTACTTTTAAATACCTTGTGATATGTGGAGTCATACAACACACATTGCATCGCAGCTATTACACAAGAAGAGTTCTGGCCACGATGCCTCTTTTCCAACTCTTCAAACAAACAAAAAAGATTAAAGATCAGGCGGGTTAGGAGAGCTTTTAAAGGCAGTGGCTACCGCATTGCCTTTGCGCTCCCAGAGGTCCTCAGAGGAAAGAAGCATCAGGTGTGCTTCCCCATCCTCCACGGGTGCAGCCGACCGGCACGGTCAGACGGGATGCCTGCCCGGCGCAAAACCGAAGGATGCAGAATATTTGAGAGTGGTTTGGCCGCTAGCAGTCAGCTGTGGGAGCCACAGGAATCAGGATGCAGGAATTTGGGTCTTTGTTTCAGGAACATTACTTGGAAAGTATCGGGGGCAGCCGCAGGGCGGTCCGAAATCCTTCATCTTATCTACGCTCGGCGCAGGGAGCAAGGCAGGGGAGCCGATGGCACCGTCCCTTCTGGCTCCGGGAAGCCGAGGGCTCCCGGCCGCCTTGCCGGGGGTCCCATCCCTTCCCGACCCGGGCATTGCACGGCACCGTCCCGACTCCGGGTCCCCCGCGCCCCTGCCCGTGCGCCCAGAAGCGCGGGGCGGTGGGCGACAGCGGAGCCGCAGCACACCGCAAGCTGGGCGGGATTTTTTTTTTCTTATTTCTTCCCACCTTTTCCTCATCTGCGGGCCGCGCACTGCCCGCACTGCTCACGGTAGAGCCGAGTCTTTAACTTCGCCCGGGGAAAGGAGCAATGAGAAAAGTAGCCGGGAGGGGCGGAAAGGAGGAGGGTACCCGCGGCTCGGGGGGCTGCAGCGAGGGCAGCCCGCACCTGCCCCGCCAGCGGTGCGGGGCGTCCCGGCGCTCCCGGACTTACTTTCTGCGGGTCGGCGTAGGTGCCCAGCCCCAGGAGCGGGATGCTGTTGCCATCGCTCAGCGGAATGCGGTGGCTCTCGGCGGTGAGGTTCATCGTGCTGGCAGGTAGGGCCGCCCCAGACCTGGGGCTGATTCCGCAGGGGGCGGGAGCCGCCGCTTCGCAGCCAACCGCAGCCCCTGGCACCGGTGCCCACCGACGGCTGGACGGAGCGCACCGGCGTTGGCTCTGGGGGGACCGAGGGACGGACTGCCCTCTCCCGCCGCCGGGGAGCGCCTTTTTGGGGGGCTGAGCCACGTGTGCCCGCGGCTGCCCTGCACCGCGCCCCGCCGCGCACCGCCCCGGCCCCGCCCCGGCCCCGCGGCCACCGGCTCCCCGCGCACCGCCCCGCGCGGTGACGGCCCCGCCGCGACCCCCGCGGGGCTCCGGCGGGGCTGCGCGCACGGCAGGGGCTGCTCCGTGCCGGCCTCAAAGCGGGCCCGTGGACCACCAGCGGCTGGAGTGGCTTGGGGCGTTGCTGCCCAGTGGCCAGGGAGCCCGCGTGGGCTGCCCTACCTGGAGATGCCGGCAGCAGGGCACCGGCTTCCCGTGGTTTGGGGTGGCAGGTCTTGGAAGTTTCCCCACAGAGGTGTAGAACAGTTTCCACCTCTCTATTCCAGTGATTGAAACCCACTACTGTAGAGGCAAGGAGGGTAGGACTGGTGAGTAGTTTCTCTGCCTCAGTGTGAGTTCCAAATTGCAGTGAATGGACTCAAGTTCCTCACGGTCTGGTTCTGCTCCGCAGTTTAAAAAATGTATGTATTTCCTAATGCTGATAGCCCAGAAGGAGACAATATCCTTTATAAAATTCATCACGCAGCTCTTACTGTCTTTTCTGGTCCTCATAAAAAACTCGGGGCCGCCTGCTTTGTGACATCTGTGCTGAGTTCTCCCCATTTGATCTGGAGGTGAATGGTCTTTTATGCCTTCCTAGATCAACCTGCAATTAAGCCCTCAGGGGACATTATTTCTGAGCCATAACAATGCTCTTTGCCTGGCAGTTTACTTTATCTCCTCTAATACCCTACTTGGCTTTCTGTGCATGATAATAGTTCATCAGGTTATGCAATTCCAAGAGGGGTTAATAGATCCATAATGAGAAGTTATCTCTGAAAGTTCTTTAAATCAATAGGTGTGCACTAGCTTGCACTCGGGGAAAGGGTTATTTGCTGCTAGGGCTGGGAACATACCTGGAGAATACCCTACCATGAGACCCTTTTAGTGTTACTGGCTAGATACCTGCAAGGGTCTCCTTAGAAGATGGGGAAAATGCCACTTCCACATTTAGCAATGTTCCAAGAAGTTCAGGACTAAGTGCAAGCCAAGTAGATCCCAACACAAAAAATTCTAGTTAGGATGTCCTGAAGGACAAAGGTGGTGTGTGTAAAATGCTCCTTGGAAAGTGGACTGAGTGTGACTGAGGTTGTCTGAGAGCCTGTGCTTTATGTGGACAGCACAGTGCAAAGAGCTACCTTTAAGGTGCCTGGGCTCCATCTCAAGGGGGAGAAGCTGACTGTAGTTACTGCTCATCCTCCTAGACCTGTCTGTGTGTTGCTGGGATCTGTGGGTACCCACAGGAGGAAGGAAAACCAGTGACAACCTCCATGCTCCCCTGTTCCCGTGAAGCTGATTATCTCTTTCTTGTTACAGGAGCTGCTCTGATCTCCTGTCTCTGTGCCAAGCACACTCTGCAGGAGGACAAGTTGATGCCAGCTGCGTGTCTAAGCAATAGCCATCATCCTGTTGTATTTCCAACAGAGGAGGAAACACATGGAGAGATGGAAATGGGGTGAGTAGAGGAGTCTAATGTGGCAGAGGACATTCAGAAACCTACTTATTTCCAGTTCCATGCTAGCATTCCATGAAGAGGCTCTGCTGCCCAGTGGCTGATTCCTATCCCTTAACTTCTATGCTCCAAGTCCACTCCACAACCTGCTTTTCCATAATTCCTCTCAATCCAGCATCTTTTGGGGAGTTTTAAGGTACGGTTTTGACTCATTAGCTTTGGGCTCAGAGCACATCCAGTTTACTCATGTGCTCTGGCAAGAGAGCAACACACGCCCGGAGCTGCGCGTGATCCTGAGCTGAGCAGAGCACGGCTGTGCTGCGGTGCCTGTCCTGGGGAGTAGAGCAAGTGCAAGGAGCCCCTCTGGCAGGAGTACACAAGCCTGATACGTGATAGCCTTCGACGACAACTGTGAAAGAAGGATTGATGGACTTGCCATAATGCACAGAACGGGGAGCTTGGGCAGGAGAAAGACTTGTGCTTCTAGGAACAGGCAGGCAAAGTGGTCCATCACCGGCAAGGCAAGCCAGCCACACCAGGTAGGTACTCCTGCCCTGCCACAGGCACAAGCCCTCAGCACCCATCAGGTGGCTTCACTTCCAGCTGCACTGCTAGTCTGGTCCTTACAAAACTAGCCAATGTGCTTGCCCAAGAAGTTGGAGAGAGGCAGAGGGTTTTACAAGTCCTTCCCTCCACTCCTGCACCTTAACTGACAGAAAATACCATGAACACCCCTTACACATGAGACTTTTAAAGTCCCACAGATAGCTGCTCTAGCTCCCTACCCTACTGTTCCAATGCCTTTGCAGATTTTATATGAAACTCCAGAAAACAGGGAAATGCATTTTCCCCCCTTTACATCCAAGTTACTAACTAAAAAAAAAAAGCTTATTTCATAGAAGCTAGAAATACTAGCAGGTTTTCAGTTGATAATGAATATCCTTTAAAGAACAAAGGAAGCCAAATAATGGAGCCTGGAGCCTGTCACATGTAATTCTTGTTAGCAATAATATCTGTTAGCTGTTCAGGGAAGCACAGCTTTCAATTTCAGACTATAAATTACTTAACCAGACTTTTTACGAGGATATGGTATCTAGCAACTCTGACTGCAAAACAATGTAAGTTTCTAGAGGCAGAGCATTGGCTGCTGGTCATTGTCGATCAGTAACAATTCAGGAGCTTTTATAAGATGCAGATGTGATCTCAATTCTTTCTCTAGGAAACAAAACCAACGAAGATTCAGTCTGGCCTGACTAGCAAGCAATGAGCACTGCCATCCTATCCACTCAAGTTTACCTTCTCTAGTGAAGCTCTTAAATCACACAAAAACACCTTCAGAAGCAACTAAGGTAGGTTTGTGATTCATGTCTTGATGGTGCAGGATTTTAGAATTGCGTTAGTCATCTCAGACCTAAGTAAAGAGCAGGGATTTCAAAAACAACATCTTATATGTGTTCTGTTCCCCACCCCCTGAATCTCCACACAAATAAAATAGATTAAAAAAATAAAAAGAAAAATTAGATCTAAGTTTTTCGCAGGAAAAGTGGGTCAGACATTTGAGGATTCTAGCTGTTAAAAACTTGCTGAAATCTCAGGTAAAGAAAGTACTGAACGGCCTCCTTACCTGGGCAAAGCTGGTAAGGGATCTTTTAAAGTAAAGAGGTCACTTTTTTACTCATTTTATCTCAAATTGCTAAGTATCCTGGGAACAGAAGAAAATGTGTGAAACCTTTAAATATAGAATCCCCAGTTCTTGGAAGGAAGGAGAAAGAGTCATTGATTGAGAAGGACTGGCCTAGTCATCATTCAGCTTTCATGTTGCCCCCCTCCCTTTTTTTTTTTTTTTTAATTTGTTTTGGACAGGAGAATATGTTAAAAATAGAATTCTTCTGAATCTTCTTGATCTAGGTGTGTTACACATTGTAGATTAGATCAGTGATGTTCTAGAGGTGGGTGACCTGTAGTGCCTAAAAATGAACTTTTTTTAAAAAGGAAAATTGAAAATACTTTTATAATACTTGTATTTTATAATACTTGTATATGTAAGTGCATACTGCTATAGTTTCTATTCTCTCTATGAGTCGTGCTCCATTCTGTGTAATTGTCTGCTAGAATGCATACTCTGCATGTGTTTTTAGTTAAAATTTCTTAAAACAAGGTCTTAAAGTCTGCATATTTTCAGCCTAGTCCTTTAATAACTCACATAAAATAGCATGTGTCCATCCTGCATGTGGAATATCTACTGATTTATTTTCAGCTATTTTGCTTAGAGATTTTGGTAGCATGTGTAAAGACTAATATTTATTTTCTATTTTGCCATTACCTGTAATAAACTAACACACATAAAGGAAAACTTCTAGCTTCATTCTTAAACTCCAAGAAATAAGGTCTGTGTATCCTTAGTAGAGGGCCTATACATGAAGTGAGTTGCTTTTTTAGCTACTTCTGCCACAAATTATATGAGCTGACCTGGAGAACTCTTCTCTAGTTTAAAAAAAACCCTTGTATTTTCACAAATTATCACAATAATCATCACATATATCCCAATATACTTCTCAAAGGCACCTGATGAGTGGTACCTTACACTGCCTGCATGATTCCTTCATTTAGTGACCAAGGGATTCCTCATATGGAAGCATTTGTGATCTTTTCCCTTTGGTGATGTTTGTTAAACAATAAGGCTGATCACTGCCAGGATAACAGCCTGGGCTTTGTTGGGAAGTGTGATGTAATGGGCATTCCTAGCAGTTTTTATGCAAACACCTTTTTTTTCCCTAGCTCCCACTGGTGCATGTAAACTACTTGGCAAACAATGAAATGCTTAAGTGACGTGTTCTTTTTTTTTATTCCAATAACTTCTATGTCTGCTAAGGTCTAGTTCTTGGTAAATTCTTCTTTGAAAGACCAAAGATTGCTTTCAAACTTTCAAGACCTATAGCTTGGCAGTGATATATATACACTTTTAGTGAAACTCTCTTCACTGCAAGTCCTGCAAAGCAGTATCTGTCCTCCAAAGACCTCACCTGGCCTTACTTTTCTAGCACTGGTACAGTACTTCTGCTGGATCCCTGAGGAGAGCATGAGGACAGGAAGAAAATGTGCCTACCACTTGTGTCTGTGGAGAGATTTAGAAAAATACTTAATGGCTGGGTCACTTATCCCTTCTGCTTCCTATAAATGCTCTGTGGCTACAGCTGTGATAAAAGGGAAATTCTGATATGTCCTTGATGCTGTTCCATTGCTTCTAGTAACACTGGAAAAGTGAAGCCACTGCAAGCCTTTGATCGCTCCTGGGGTACAAGGAGAATGCCAGCAGCTGCTCCAGATTATGCTCCCACCACTCCTGTGGCTGTGGGGATGTGCTCACGCTGCATCAAGGCACAGGGGCTTCCCCAGGGACCAGCCTCCTGTGGCCATCCTGGTCCATCACTGTTCCCATGCCACCTTGGGACAGGTGCAGGGCCCCGGGCTGTGGTATCCCCTGGAATGGCACTGCCACATCCCTTGTGCTGGGTGCTGTGGGGTGCTCCTCTGGGGGAATGGCTGTACAAATAGCCAGAGCCTGCTCAGCAGTTTAACTCCCCCTCTGGTTTGGGTTGTAGCCACTGGGTTGAAGTCACTGGGTGGTGGATACTGTACCAGAAGCAGTGGCCACACAGCAGAGGAAGCAAAATCTCACAACACAGGAGCCAAATTAGCCAAGCTGTTTATACACCACCACCGTGTTTCCCATGGCACAGCAGGAGAGGGGCCAACACTAGCAGTACAACCCCTAAAATGCACCCTTTTCCCTTTTGGTGTCCACTTTAGGAGCTTGAGTTGCTCCATTAGCATCCAGGGATCGTTACATACGGGCTGAAAATCCCTGTACAGGGTGAGGAACTCCTTTGGAGGATCAGAAACTTCAGGGAAAGGGAAAGAGATGCTCAGTTTGAAAAAGTAACCCTCCTAATCCTTTGGAAAGGTAATGCTCTAGTCCTTTACCAGTGTCATTTTTACAGACACTGTATCATGAGCTTGCTCCCTTTTGGGCACTATCTTCATGCTCCGGCTGGTGTTAGCAGCAAACTGAGTCAGAAACCAGCTTTATTTCCTCCCCCTGACACTGTTTACTGATTTATCACTTTCTTCTAGCAACAGTGTCTTAGTTTTTGCTCCTGACTGTCTGCTCTGGCACGTGACCAGCCTGGGAGCTGGTAAGCGCTGCCTCTCAGATCCTCAGCCAAAGGTCACTAGCTGCATGGTGGCCTCTGGATTCCTCAGATACCAACCCTTGTCATGTGGGGAGGCATTAACCTTTGGCCCTGAGTAAGTGTCTTCATAGCTCACCTCAGTTAGTCTGGCCTGCTATTTGAGCCTAGTCTAGTATAAACCCCTCTCCTTTGCCATCCTGCAAATCTAAGCCCTGTCTTGATGATTTCCAGCATGCCATCCACCTGATGCTGGTGGGAGATACCCTGTGTGAGTAAGCAGTGGCAGAAGGGGCAGCTTGGGAAGAGCTGACTGTGCGTTCACAGCCCCTCCTGCATCTCAAGGGAGCAGTGGTGGTGGCTCCCTCTGTGTAAACTCTCTTCCTCACCCAGAATAGGGATAGCTACTGTGGGAGGATACTGCCTGTATCATACAACTAAGGTATTTTGAGAGTCCCTTACTTCAAATCAGGCTCTTGGGACTCATCACCAGATCTTAGCATGTTCCAAAAATGTGAGATATCTCTTGCCTCTTTTTAATGCAGAGCTTGGTCACGGGTTCACCTCAGTGCACCACCACTACACCTGCCAACTCCCATGATTACTTGACATGTAACCTCTCACAGCTCCCTTGGGTCAGTCTCAGGGCTGTACAGGCGTTCTTAGTTCAGCTCTGATGAATGATCATTTTACTTCCTTGCACTGGGTAAACAGCTGTTTTCCATGTTACCTGCTTTAGGAGCCTCACTGGCATGTTGTTTCTTTCCTTGCCTCCAGCAACAAGCAGACACAAGTGACTAATTGCAGCAGGGCTGCACCAGCACCTTCTTACAGTCGGGACAGCATGAAAAACACACATCATTTTCATACCACATGTTAATTGGCTGCAAGATAAAATAACAGGGAGCAGGCATTTGCAGTCTCTTTTCCTTATCTTTTACTATTCAAGAGAATGAAAGCAGCACAGGCTTGGAGATGAGGGTCCCAAAGTGTCCAGTCCCCTTTGGCCACAGTACTTCCAGCTTCAAGTCCCTACTGGAGAATCTCTCCCTTTGAAGTACATCTCACTTGGGCAGGAGCCAGTGTCAGGAGGAGGAAACTATTAGCTGGTAAAGAGAATCCCACAGGTAAAGTCTGACCTCCTGCTGGTTTCTTTGCTTGTAGATATTTCCTGTGGATGCATTAAAAACAGATTGGTATTGTGGGTTTTGCTGGTCCCACCTGCTAGTGGGCAATGCTCTGTGTCAAAAAGAACAGGGAATTTAGGAGAATAGGCTTTAAAACATCACATTGATGTGTTTTAGCCTGCCTGCATGTTTTTTAAATTGTGCCTGGGTGCTTTAAAAGGCCAGAAAAGCTCATCTTTGCGTGGGTTAGTCCTTGTCCTGGAGCTGGCAGCCCAGGAGGAGGGCAGTGATGGTGGGAGCAGAGAGGTGCTGCAAAAGGATGAGAAGCCCCACTTGAGCACCCATTCTTTATGAGCAGAGGTTCTAGCAGGGCTGGTGGGATTTACAGGTGTGTGCAGCTCTTCATCCCACATTTTGTACCAAGGTGCTGCACACAGACCAAAGGGCATGTTTTACCTTTCTGCTTTGCAGACAGAAGATTTTTTTCCCCATCTTCTGCTTTCCTTTTCCCAAACTGCCACTGAATTTTTGATGTTCATATGTACTTTGGCAGATTGAGAAATCTGCTGATGTGCTGTGAGATGAGTTTATCATATTCTGCCAAGCTCTACCAGCCTATCACTTCCCTGCCACCTTTTGAAGCTTTTGAAACTTCATTGTAAGGTCCACTCAAGCCTGTGCCCAAATATCTGCATTTAATTAAAGCCTCATCCTTCTGCCCTACCACTTTTCCATGCCTTTTGTCATCTTGTGCAACAAGGCAATATGATGTTAACGTCCTCTCTCCAAGACATTTTGTAGCATCTCTGCAAATCAAATGGTGGTGATCCAGTTTGGGATTAGGAAATAGAAAGAAGTGAACAATTCTTTGTTTGCATAAGACTGGAAGAACTGTTGGGGCAGAGCTGAGGCTAGAACCCAGAATAAATCATAGGATTGCCTGTCATAACAAGAAGGGGAGCTTGCAGCAGCTTCTTGTTGTGAGATGATTTTTTAAATCTCCTATAATTGGTTTAGTAAACACCAATAGAT